CATCTCAGCGTATCGACGCAGAAACGCGTTGTGAATGTTATCGGGACCAGGCGAAGCTTTAGTCTTTAAATTCAGAAGCATAGATACAACACCAGATAAGGACACGATGTCTGCGTCGAGATAAGGAGAGGTAGCAGAAGCCCGTGCGCTGTCACAATCTTTTTGGAAAACGCTTTGAAAGTACTCATTGAAATGTGTCGCTATGCTTGTTTCATCTACAACGATTGTATCATTGTGAATTATTTGAAGAGTACCTTCTTTCTTGCGAGATAATTGCGACCAGAATTTATCAGGAGCCGTCCGTATGAAGTCTGGAAGAGTGTGTTGAAAATAAAATTGCTTAGCACATCGGATAGACTGGTTTAAAAGTGTCTGGTTTGTGTGAATAGTTGTCTGAGATGCGCGGTGACGTCGTAATCGTTTTAGTTTCCTTTTTTGATGCAAGATGTCACGGGTAATCCACGGATTTTTTTTTCGCGATCCTTTTCATTTTATTTGGCACAAAATGATCTATGCAGTATAGACATAACCTTTTAAATGTCTCCCATAGCTCAGAAACATCAGACCCACCAAAATTGCTCAAGTTTATGTCAAGAAAGTCTAAGACGCTTTCATCCGCTGCATGAAGGTAATCTTTGACTGCGACAGTTTTAGAAGGAGCACTTTTCTTTGTCAAGAAGTGGCATACGCACTTCACCATATAGTGGTCTGAAAGACCAGGTTCAATTGTCACAGAAAAGTCGGTCATGCATCGGCTCAAAAAAACAAGATCTAATATAGAAGAGGAACTACCCTGAACACGAGTAGGTTGTCTAACCACCTGTTCCAAATTACAGCACATCAATAAGTCCAGTACACTGTGAACATGAGCACTGGGTTCATTAGAAGCAAACGGGTTCTCCCAATTTACACCAGGAAGGTTGAAGTCACCAGCAATAATTATTTTTTGTTGTCTAAAACCCAAGACGTGATCACATAAATCCTGCAAAAACTCCGGTGGAGCATCGGGACGGCGATAAATGGCTACTAGTACTAAGGAAAAGCCCCAGCATGACAATTTCAAGGTAATAGTTTCATGGTTATTGATTTGTTTTGAAAGTGCTGCTGAAATGTTTTGTTTAATCAGGACGGCAACGCCACCTCCTTTTGAACTTCTATCTCGACGAAATACTTGGTACGAAGGCGGAAATATACTGTTGTCGTGAACTTCACTTCGGAGCCAAGTTTCAGTGATCACAACAACATGAGGGCTGTATCCCAAGATCAAAGCTTCAAGATTATCACTTTTGTTCACAATGCTACGCGCATTGATATTTAAGAGGCGCAGTTCCTCAAGGCGAGAAGGTATCTGTCAATCCCTGGAGGAAACTTTTCGCCGAGTAACCAGTTCTACCCTCGAATGTGTGACATCATCCCATACGTAAAGTTCGTTATCTATTCGCAGTTTATCATGCAGAAGAATCACTTTCTTGCCCTGTTTTTTTTCCTCTTTTGCACTTTGCCATAAAAGCTTGCGTTTCCTTAGAGTATCCACCGAATAGTCATTCTGAATGTAAATTTTTGTTCCCTTTAACTTTCGTGCATTTTTAAGAACATCCTGCTTTTCGTTATAATTTTGAAAGGATACAATTACTGGCCTCATTTTACCCGGCTTTCCAATGCGGTGGATTCTTACAACAGAGCTGCATCTTACGTTTAGCTTGTCCCAAAAAAGGCTGTCAATCACCTCAGCGCGAAGAGTTGTCTCAGTTTCAGTGCTGCCCTCCTGAATGCCAAACAAAACCAGGTTTGAACGCCTGCTCCTATCATCAATGTCAGCTACTTTCGCTTGTAGCGATTTGACCGCCTGTTCTAGGCCATCTATTCGATCGATATGCATTCCAAATTCGAGAAAACGCTTGTTAAGGTCTGAAATCATTTTTTCCATGTTGGACTGCTGATCCCTCAAAGTAGCCATCTCTGTGACCAACTTATTTTGGCCTTCCAGCAGTTTAGTCAATAAGGCTTCAGTGCTCGGCCCAGGGTTCAACTCAACATCCCCACATAACAAAAGTTTGCATGCACAAAAAACATTGCATAAAATTTCAAGACACTGGCGTGGGCATGGCAGGACCAGGAGCACGATAGTCACTTTTGATAGAGCTATAATAAACACTAACTGCATAATGCAGAGGAACGGCCTATTAGGCAGCATGGCGAGGCCTGGTCGCCACACCCCTGAAGTTGAAGCGATGCGGCATGGCTCTTATAAAGGCGTCTGAAGGAGTCCCGTGGTATGGCGGGTTGATAACGTGAGGCCAGAAGCACTGACGATGCGGTGCAGAGCGTAATGTAGGATCCGCGCGGCATGAATTGAGTCCCGTCCGGAATCCTCCGACCGACTAAGAAGCGGCCAACTGCGCCAGTAGAAAGCTAGAATTGTTGATCCGCGCGTGCATCGAATTGAGTCCCCGTCCGGCTGAATCCCGAACGACTGAAGAGCGGCCAATTTGCGCCAGCAGGGACCTGCATAATGCAGAGGAACTGCCACTTAGGCAGCAGGCGAGGCCTGGTCCGCCCCAACACTGAAGTTGAAGCGATGCGGCATGGCTCTTATAAAGGCGTCTGAAGGAGTCACGTGGTTATGGCGGGTTGATAACGTGAGGCCAGAAGCACTGACGATGCGGTGCAGAGCGTAATGTAGGATCCGCGCGTGACATTGAATTGAGTCCCGTCCGGCTGAATCCCGACCGACTGAAGAGCGGCCAACTGCGCCCAGTAGAACTGTTGGATCCGCGCGTGCATCGAATTGGAGTCCCGTCCCGGCTGAATCCCGACCGTACTGAAGAGACGGCAATTGCGCCAGCAGGACCTGCATATGCAGAGGAACGCCTATTAGGCAGCATGGCGACGGCCTGGTCCGCCACACCCACATGAAGTTGAAGCGATGCGGCATGGCTCTTATAAAGGCGTCTGAAGGAGGTCACGTGGTTTGGCGGGTTGATAACGTGAGGCCAGAAGCACTGACGATGCGGTGCAGAGCGTAATGTAGGATCCGCGCGTGCATGAATTGAGTCCCGTCCGGCTGAATCCCGACCGACTGAAGAGCGGCCAACTGCGCCAGTAGAACTGTTGGATCCGCGCGTGCATCGAATTGAGTCCCGTCCGGTGAATCCCGAAACGACTGAAGAGCGGCCAATTGCGCCAGCAGGACCTGCATAATGCAGAGGAACGGCCTATTAGGCAGCATGGCGAGGCCTGGTCCGCCACACCCACTGAAGTTGAAGCGATGCGGCATGGCTCTTATAAAGGCGTCTGAAGGAGTCACGTGGTATGGCGGGTTGATAACGTGAGGCCAGAAGCACTGACGATGCGGTGCAGAGCGTAATGTAGGATCCGCGCGTGCATTGAATTGAGTCCCGTCCGGCTGAATCCCGACCGACTGAAGAGCGGCCAACTGCGCCAGTAGAACTGTTGGATCCGCGCGTGCATCGAATTGAGTCCCGTCCGGCTGAATCCCGACCGACTGAAGAGCGGCCAATTGCGCCAGCAGGACCTGCATAATGCAGAGGAACGGCCTATTAGGCAGCATGGCGAGGCCTGGTCCGCCACACCCACTCTAGAATTGAGCCAACATCCTTGAGATTAGCAGTGCAACACCTGACCTTCCAAGCAACCTAAGGCAGATGACTAAGCAAGCCAGGACAAGTGTGAAAATGTTGGAGTGCACTGCTTCTACCACCTTCTGCATTTCTGAGTTACGAAACTGAAACTAGGTGTAGAAAGGTTACTAAAGAGAGATGCTACTAAGAAAAATGTTTCTTTAGTTGGTAGAGTAGGACATGAAAATTTTTGCTGTTTATAGCATCGAAACTTTTATGCTGACATCATATCTGAAATCATCATCTCAAGTTGCACAGTTTTTGTTTTCTATCATGACAATGTAAAATGTAGCTACTTTTTCCTCACTACACTTCTATACTTATGAACTATTAATGGCCCATATTGCTCCACATAAACTATAGAATACTGAAAACTTTCTAAACAAAATGTATAAGGCATTTTAAAATCTACAAGTAAAGCTAGAATAATTTGAGGCCTTTTAATGTACAGGCCATATTATACTTGCTTACTTCCAAGTTTCTTAAAGTTATGCACGTGATACTACGTTTTAAAGCAGATAGATGCTCTCTTCACATCTAATTATGTTGCCGTTTAATGTTATCACGCTAACTAGTTTTTTTTTCTCCAGTAAAACACATATGCATTGTTCGTTTATTGCTTCTACGCTGTTATATTATTGTTGTGGCTGCTTTGTATTGCAAATTTTTCTCTTTTTTTGTCTCTGCAATATGCCCTCTATTGTATAGGCCTGACAAGGCCCACTGTATTGAATAAATAAATGGATAAATAAATAACTGTGTCAGCAAAATTTTATACAGATCTGGCTATTGCAAATGCCAGAAACATGATGTTCAAACTGAACAAGTTGGCGAAAATTGCCCGTTGAGGGGAATGCATTTTGAAGGTTAAAATTAAGCTCGTCTATGTGGCAAAGCCTTTCTGTAGTCAACACGTAGCCTTGGTGAACTCCTCATGCAAAATGCAATGGCAAGCAGCAAGGTGATAATTTCCCAGGGGATAATATTATCTGGCATTTCACATCCCAAAACCATGATACGTTTATGAAAGACCGTAGGGAAGGGCTCCCGAAAGTTTTACCACCTTGTGTTCCTTAACCTGCACAGACTTCACACAATACTCAGGCCTCAATCATTTAGTCACCATCAAAATGCCACCGCTGTGGCCGGGATCTTCAAATTTACAGGGTACTTAAGACAATGAAACATTTTCTGTTAATAGCCATGACTCCCTCTTTCAGCAATTTGGATCTATAGGTGCAACCTTCATTTTTCATTTCTTGAAAGTAGACAAAACATGTAAAAACAAAAAATTTGGAAGAAACATGCATTGTTTAAGTAGCATCTCCCTTTAAGTTAGAACACTCTGAGGGCAGGCAGTATAGATATTGTTTTTTATTCCTGAGGCCTTCGACATGCATATTACAAAAATATTCTAATGTTTGTTTAAAATGAGCTGAAACAGTTCCTCTGGGCTGAGCTGCAGAAAGCTTATCCACATTACAGTAATACATTAAATATGAAGACATAAGATAGCATTAGTAAACATTTTATTTGAACACAGTACACCCTATTTGTAAATGAAGCTTATAATACGCTGTAATACACAATTAACATTACACTGCACAATGAATGCAATTTTCCAAGCTCTGGTAGAAGCCGCAGCACTAGACAGGTTCTGCTGAGGCTTTCCAAGAGGCCCCTACGTCTCGGGAAATGACTTGGTCTTCTTGTCGGGAGAAGTGGGGCCCCAAGTCGAGAAGTTCAATAAAGTGTCTGCTGCCAGATGACGGTTTTCCTATCAGGGCTCCAATATCCACCTATTTGAGCATTCTCCTATTGAGCAGCTCAGTAGCCAACTGCAAAGAAAATGCATGTGCGTGTGGGCTCATAGTAGACTGGACACAATTTCAACAGAGTTTACCACTGTACATTTCAAATTTATTCTTGGTGGTAAAAGAAGAGTTCATTACAGAAAAAACAGAGCAGTTCACACAATGCCTTCCTGCTGTGCTTCATTATGCAACGTTTTGTGTTTGTAGCACATAATGGCCATATTCTGAAAATAAGTTTTGATATGCACTGATGACTATATGTGTTGCCTTGCCGATATCCTTGTGTACAGCAGTCGCACATAATACACTTGGACATTATTATTGCAAAATGACACTCTTGGGCTTCTGGATAGAGAAAAAAAAGAAGTTTCAGAAAGTCAATTTTTCCGCATTATTTTGGTGCCCCTACTTTTTTGCTGAAAAACACAGCCATGACAAATCTTTTGAAGAATATGAAATTGAAACAAAGCATTTTTACTTGATCAATCAATCACCTATGTAATTTAATGTAGCACATAATATACAGAGTACACTAATTTTGTTTGGAACTGTTTATTACAAAACATACACTGGTTTGGAGTTCCTGCTTCGCAGTTTCACAATTAAATAGGGGTGTGTGAATACTCGAAAACTTCAAATAAAGAATAGAATGGCACGGTATTCGACTCGGCACTTGAAACGAATAGTATACATTCGAAATATTTTTCTGACAGTTTTCAAATAATCAGCACCGATGAGAAAATTCCAAAACAACAAAACTCTGCAAAAGCTAACATTAATTTTCTTTTTTTTAATCATCGAATTATCAATAGAAGCCTGCAATCAATAGAAGCATGCCAGCATCGGTGCGTAAACTTATCCCTTTTAAACAACCTAATGAGGATTATGAGTCACTGAGAACTACCTAGTAAACAGGACCCGACTGTCAACATGTGAAGTCTAAAGCACAGAGTATTGCATAAAGCTTTGCTGCAGTGAATGTTCTGAAATAGCCGAGCTTAAACGTTTTCTTTTTTTCTTGATATGCAGGCATAAAGAATGCCGACGTAGAACTTCAAACTTGATCTATGGGTATACGTGTGAATTCAATCTACATCCCAGTAATTCAAAAAAAGGAACCAAAAAATGTCGGGTATAATCACAGTTACAAAGCAACAGCTGAAATGTTCGACATGTATCAGCGTAATGCCATCAGCCTAAAAGAGAATGGTGTATTCATTGGGCTAAACTTTCGAAATGTGGCGGATTTCCAGCCATTGCCCCCAAAAAGTCTGCAATGCACGAAAATGCTCTCGACGCTATGGCAGGATCCATGCCAGCCTCTTGTCCTTCAGCAACTACAGGAAGATAAGCGTCGCCTAAGCACTGTGTATTCAATCAGTGACATTACTTCATTTCTAAGTTATACTGCTGAGGATGCATACACAAACCGGAATCGATGTAGACATTCTGCGCTAACAGCTGCTGAAAAATTTACAAAAACTTGCACATTTGTAAGCAATTTAAATACACAACAAAATAAGATACATTCATAAAACCACATTTCAAACAAAACCATGAAGTAAAATCAAAATGATACCATCATATCAGCAAATACACAGTGAAAGAACAAATCTTTGCAAGTTTAAGCCTTAAGGTAATAATTTGAAAAGTTACTATAGTGGAAATAACCTGCCTTTTAAGGCATAGATTTGCAGTCAATGTTTAAAGATTGAAACAAGAAAACATTGTTATTCCTTTTTCTTAGTTTTTTTTTGTTTCAAGCCACCACGAGGCAAATTTTCTTTTGTTACCTATACACATCTGAACATTACGAGCTGTTTTTAACACCTTGTTACGCATTATGTCAAGTGATTGGTTTTGAAGACTGGGTGGGGCACTTCCCCGTTTTGTACCATTTATGGTGACATCGGCAACACCGAACATTTATTTGGCTGTGCCCGCAGTTTGACGGTGAAATAACAGAGATGGTACACAGCTGGCGGAAAGGTCATCACAAGTATGGGTCATTTGAAGGTGTAATTTTTTCTGAAGGGCCAACAGCGACGAGGAGGAGCGTGCAATCGATCCTGATGGCTTTCCTGTGAGACACTGGGCTGAGGGACATTTGCTGATAGACCCAAATAATTTTAAAAATGTTCAGGGGGAACGATTGCTGGCCATTTAGGCCAGGCTAACCCCGCCTGTTGCAACATCGCAACCATCACCTACGCGACCTAGTTCTTGGTCTAGTAGGTAATAGCTCCTCTGCTTTTGCATTTGTTTTAGTTTATTGATTGATATGTGGTTTTTACATTCAAAAACCACCATACGATTCTGAGAGACACCGTAATGGAGGGCTTCGGAAATTCTGACCACCTGGGGGTTCTTTAACGTGCTCCCAAATCTGAGCACACGGGCATACAGCATTTCTGCCTCCATCGAAATTGCAGCCGCCGCAGCCAAGATTCAATCCCGTGACCTGCGAGTCAGCAGCCAAGCACCTTAGCCATTAGACGACCGCGGCAGGGTGATTTGTTTTAGTATATGCAACAGTGGCTTAAGATATGAGTACTGCCAGTGTCGCTGTCAGAATACCATAAATCAGGGGTCGGCAATCTTTTGGGGTGGAGGTCCGTGTTATGGCAAAGCCGAGTTGCATAAAGCCGACAGGGCCGGAGCCGGACAGAATCAATTAGGAGGGTTGGGGGCTTTGAAGGAAAAAGAAAAAGGGGGGGTGAACTGACAATAATGTAGAAAACCAGAATAAATACTATGTTTGTTTTCTGCATGCATGTCACAAGAAGCCGAGTTACAAGTACAGCTGTGTGAATGCAAAATTTTTTGTGCGAAGCGAATTCGAATACTGAACCTTGACCGCAGATCGAACAGAATATTTTTCTAATATTTCTTAAATGATTCTAGAATATTTTTCTAATACTTTGAAGCAAAATTGCAATAAAAAAATTGGAGAGGATTCCTGAGCATACTCCTATGAGATAGCGACAGGAATGTGTATCTTTGGGCTAGATTGATGAAGCATTCGTGGGATGGTGTTGTCTTATCAGGAATGATGCAATGAAGAAATTGAATTGTATTGATGTACAGTAGACTCCCTTTAATACGAACTTCAAGGAACCACGATCATCTGTTCGTCTTATTAGGAGTTCGTCTTATCAGAAGTCCCCCCCCCCCCCAAAACCCAACGGTGGCATGTTAAGCATGCCTAAATATGTTGCTTCAAAACACTGAATGAAAAATGAACTTACAATGGCGAGAAAAGGAACAAGACAAAGCATTTATTTGGCTCAACTTAATAAACAATATGCTTTCAACTGGAGTATTTAGGCTAATTTATGGAGTACTCGATTTCACCAGTTCTTAATAAATATGCTCATTAATAAATTCTCCATGCCATCTCTCCCGGCTCTGCTTCAAGCACTTCCGTCGGGATAAGAAGAGAGAATGCATTCACAGCATGTGGAAAATCGCAAACCTCCACTCATACTGTACAGATTCTTAAAGTTTTGGTGGCGGTTAATTTGTGAGGCAATAAGCTTCTTTAGTGAATCCATTCCATGGCTACCTGAAAAGCTGTTGAGAAACCCTTTAAATGAACATGTGATCCACAAATCGATTGATAATTTTTCTAAGCTTAAAAGGTTGTTTTGCTGACTAATACACATAGGTTATCACTTGCATCCTGCTGAAAGTCAAATCCCACTACTTATCAAAGTTGTTTCGACTTCCCTTGAATGGCAAAAAAAAAAAGAAAGCAGTTGCATAGAGGCCTTATTTCAATTTTACAAAAGTATTGTGCAAGTTAGTTAGGTCATAATACATATGCCCATTTTTCTTTGTACATCATATATTGTATTCGAACTCGATTCTAAATTATTAGACCAAAATTTCTACTCGCTTCGAACCTCAAATTCACTATTCGCAAAAGCCTAATGATTTTTATGTTGGAATCAGCATTTTTTAATGTCGATACATTCATGACTGTAGCAGAGCCTAAAAGCAGCTTTGCCGCAATACTATAAAAGTGTGATAAAGTGAAGCATAATAAAAAAAATCTGAATGGGCCACTGTCCATTTCGCATTCATTGTATTTGTCTTTGGGAAGTTCAAATAGTTTGAATAGTGAAGTTCTGGTGCAAGCCAAATTGAATAGCAAAGACTATTAAAAAATTTGAATATTTGCACACCCCTAGTTACAAGCAAACAACAAAACTTTGTCAATATGATTTTTGGTGCCAAACAATCTTAGCTAGCCAGAGAAAGGAAGTGAAGATGTCATCTGACTAAGTGTGAAGATGGGGGACAATGCCAACTGGAAGCAATCTTTCTCTTTTTTGTCTAACCTTATTTACGAATAACACTGTCATGTTAGCCTTCAGATAGGAACTGAAGAGGAGTGGGTGGGCGGGTTCTGATGTCATGCCAGGGGCATGCGGCCCGCAGGCTGCAGGTTGGTGACCCCTGTCATAAATGATTTAATTGTGTATCTGCAGCGACTCACAGCTTTAAAGCATTGCAATAAATTACTCTGTTCATGCAGAGAGCTCAAATAAGTCTTTAAATTACCTTTAGGACTTGATCTACCGGCCAAATGTGTTTGCACAAAATCGTCAAAACTGTTTCAGGGTCCCTTTAAATGGAACAAGTGTTTCTGACAAGATTGGTTTCGTTCTTGCATTCTGCACCCCTGTTCAGCTCTCAGTAAATGGAACTCCTGTTAAATAGAACGAATTTTCCTGGTCCCTTCAGGTTCCATTTAATGAGAGTCTACTGTACAGATGAGATATGGTACGAAAATATAGGGAACATGATGAAGCATCAACATGTTGAAATTTCCAAGCAAGTAAGGTAAGTCAAGCAATCCACAATAAATTAAAGAAGTGCAGTGAAATCTACCAGCATACCTTGCAAAAGAAGGAACATTTCAAGCTTGTTTGAGTTGGCATAAAGATAAAAATGTTTTTAGCTAACTTTTCAGAAGTATCTGGATTCCTGCACAACCTTGCAAATGTGAAGTTGCTTTACAGAAGCAAAAAAAGTCTGACCAATGAAGCAATGTTTATACAACAGTAGCTGTAATATAACAGTTGTCACATGACCAGTGCATATTGTAGGAAAAAAGCAGTGTCTGAAGTGTGTGGTGCCTCATAGTGGCTTCATCTTCATGTCACAGAAGTAAGATGTTGTTTTACAAGTGCATCTGCAAGTTGCATGTGTCTAGTAAGGAAACTCATAACTGCTGTTTACAGCAATCGGGCAAAAAAAAGTTTGAGACTGATTACTTGAGTGTAGGGCTATATATATATATATATATATATATATATATATATATATATATATATATATATATATATATATTTTGCAATAGATATGCAGCTGTTCTTTTCTTCTCAGCAGATGTATCAACATTTGCTACAAATTTAGCCTTCACTTCATCTTGCAACAGTTCCTTTGTTGTACAGCAATGACCCATGAGTCATTGAGGCTCGCAGTCTCAGATATTCCTCCACTGGTCAAAACTGAACTGCTGAGAGTACCTGCCGCCACTACACAACTAAGAATTAGCGAAATAAATGGATCCATTTTGTCTTTTTCTCTTTGAACACAGAACAAAGGCTGTGGCTGAAGGGTGCATCGCCTGAAAGTGGCTCCGCTCATGAAACAATTCAGTAAGTAGGGCATAAGCAGCATTGAACATCTCACGAACTCAAAGTGAAATGAAAGCTAATGTCATCAAACAGAGCACGCCAAGAATAAATTGAACTCGTGTTCATGTGCAACTTATTTGACAAGCATGTGGTCTACGGCACTGCCTTCTGTACGGAGGATTTTGCTGTATACCATGTCACACATTGCCGAATAATAATTTTACACAATCAAGTTCGCAAGAAAAAAAAAAAAGAAAACCTCATGGTTTACTAGAGCTTTACTAGAGGTCCTATGATTACTGTACTTTCATGGTATGGTAATCACAGGGAAAAAAAAGAAATAAAGTGAGAAGGGAGATTATTGAAGCAGAAAAGATTAATAGATTAGGGCTGAACTGCGTCAGCACTCCTTCTCTCGGTCTTTGTGAAAAAGAATTGTCGTTCTTGAGATCATAAGTTTTTAGCGCATGGCAATAGAGGGCTTTTCATCTGTTTATCTGTTGTCTTCGAATTTTGTGAGCTTATATATGTACGCTCCTCGAAATAAAGATTTTGTTGGAAGTAAGCGCTCCCTTCTGTCCCTTCCCTTGTCCTATGTTTCTAAACGCGCTACATCGATCAATCATGGTTTACCTGAATCCAACGCAGCCATTACGCTTGCCTCACGACCACAAGCAATAGCTGCATTCACAAGAGGGGTGATACGCACATCCTACTTTTCCACCAGAATCCTTTTATTGATGGCATTCGTGACACGAAAAAAAGTGTCCCTGCAAGAAAAGCCAGTAAAGTAAAACTACTCGTGTGTTCATAACAAGGCACATGTTTGCTTCTTTTTTCAGCTTTCCATCTCTAAAAAGACCCTAAAGAGAAACAATGACTTCACTTAGATTGACAAACTGTACTCTGAGAACTCTAATGCCATATGTCTCACTATCTTAAGTTCATTATTAGCAGAGAAAATCAAAGTTGAAGTTTAGTTTTTAAATATCGTGCCCAAGTCTCCGTTTGTGATGTCAAAAATTTCAAAAAGTATTTTTCATATTTTCATGAGATTGGCTCAATTAAATTTTTTAAAACTTTGTATTCTAGGTCTATGGCACCCACAGATGACAATGCAATTCATTTCAATACATTAGAAGCTACGTAGGACTCAGTAGACGCCTTCAAAATCTATGATGTCACGGTGTTTGGTGCGGGAATCTCCAGCTGGCATTTCCACCACCATTTTCTTTTCGTGTGTTTTTTTACTTACCAGGCGTCATGTTGCAGTAAGAGTAGTGTTTTTGGGATTGTGAAATTGTACTTTACTAATACGTGAAAAATCGTTTTGCTTTTTAGTGTCCCTTTTTTCTATTGCAAAAAATGAATACAAATGTTTCTAATCTATGACTGTGCTATGAAAACATAAGCGAGTTTATAACACCAGCTTATGAAAACTATCAAAACTTGATGTGAAGCTAAATTTTATAATCTAATGTTTGCAATGTAGTGGATGAACATTAGACATTTGCTGCCCGTTCACATAGTGCGACCAACCATACTCGAGAGAGCCACGCCCATTTGACAAATAAAGAAAATTGTATAGTGGCACTACACTCTAAAAAAGACAGTGTTTTTGCTACACAACAATAATGATCATCTACTGCGAGTACTTTCCTCGTGCTATCACCACAGTTCCGCTAGTTCGCCATCGCGAACTATGTGCGCATTATCAATGTCACATAGCATTCCCGACAGGAAAGTGGCTAGCACCAGGTTTTCAAGAAAGGAAATGCGAGCAAGTCAGATGACGATTATTTTTGTGTGCCAGAACTAATTCCCGAATACTCCATTTTTTCTTAGAGTGTAGTGGCATGCAGTCGCTATTATGAATAAAATATAAATTTTAGTTTCCGAAGCAGGTTCTTATATGATACTGTATTATGCAATACTGTCAAGCCCGAATGTCTGTGACTTATAAAGCCACAGCTAGTGTGTTTATTAAAAATATACTATGGTGATAAACCTGAAATTTAAACCTCGCTACAAAGGAACAAAATTAGTTTGGCCCAGACTTCTGGAGATCAGCAAATATAATCAAGCTGAGACACTTCAGTTAGAAACTACAGTGCTTGCATTTGCTTGAATTTGTAGATACGGTAATCACACATTTGTGGTTAAAAAAACAAATAATTCTGACTTCTCAGGTCTAACTTAAAAAAAATTATATTTGAACGAAAGTTAAGCATGCTCCTGTCATAATTTGCCCTTAAGAATGTCAGACAAAATTTTCAAAATTTAATTAAAATAAGAGATACAGGATACAACGTACCAGAATCGACAAAACTGGCCTTTCAAGTCCTGACGTGCCCACAGACTTGTTAGGAGAACCCTCTTGCAGTTTTTCAATCTGCAAGAAAATGAAACTGAATATAATCCCAAAATGTGTATACAGCAGGCTTTCAGTAAACGGAAATCTGTTAAACAGAACTGCTGCTTAAATGGAACAAATGCTTCTTACAAAACTAGTTTCGTTCTTGTCTTTTACACACCAGGTCATCTCTCAATAAACTGAACTCCTCTTAAATCGAACATATTTTCCTGGTCCCTTCAGGTTCCATTTAATGAGGGTCTACTGTATATCAGACTCTAATGAGACATAACAAATACAAGCATGAAAACCAGTGTGAATAAATTGTTTTGGATAGCCCCTAAACCACCCAAGGTCGACATTTGATTGTGGTGTTCTAGTTCAGCCTGAGTATACAATGAACCCATAGCCGTGATAATCTATCAAAACATTGCCGCAATAGCAGTTACACGCATTTGCTGATCCCGAAGAGGCCCATGCTCATTTTGCTTTTTTTTTCCCTGTGCTCCGCTCGTCAGCTCATCTCTTTTTGTTGATGACATCAGCTGATGCAAATGTTGCTGTCACGGCAAATGCTCAGGGGCTGAGGACTGCTAAAAGACCCAGAGAGGAGAAGAAATTGTCTCTTGAAATTAGCGGGGCACTTGCGGCTTGTAGTGCTATTGAATTTGTCATTAATGATCATGATGGCATTCAGAAGTCGATGCATGTGTATATTTGAAAGGCTAAAAAATTATCAAGAAAAATTTAGGGGCTTTTAAATAAAAAAAAAACTGACACAAAGAATCTGCATCCTGTCTTTTCTGTTGCAGTAGATTACTAACGACCCTCTTGGCATGGCTGGAAACCTCTTTTGTCCAAGCAATAGACTTGTGCGAATATTCAAATGCTTCGAATATTCGAACGAATAGTAGAGTATTCGAATTTGCTGCGATTCCAATTTGAATTATCGAATATTTTAAAATATTCGATAGGAACGAATAAGTCTATATTCATCCCCATGCAACTGCCTCTGAGGGTAACTTTTCTGCAGTATAGCGGTTCTAAGTCGTGAAAGCACCGGTACAGGAGAAATTTGCTCTGCAACGAAGCCTCACTTTAAATTTAAATGGGCCCTGCAAAACTTTTTAAGCATGGTCAGCAAACGCTGCCGATCAGTAGCCGAGGCTACCGAGGACACATGAGCTAAATATTATAGTGTAGCATGCCCCCCCCCCCCCTCCCCTCCGACCTAGGATTCACAATCAATTCTCAAAATCAGATAAAAAATGCTCTATTCTCTCGGCAAATGACGCCACAATGTCAAAAATCGCTCGTCACGGCCATTGTACCAGCCATTGGCTGATTTGAGAATGGGGCGCTCGGTCATTACTGGGGTGCCACGGGTGGCTGCGACTTGTCCACGCATGCATGTGCGATCAAACTGGAAGGCCGCTTATTTAAAGAAAAAGAAAAGAGAAAGAATGCTCAAGGTCGCAACGTGCATGTCACATATTTTCTATCTCCATGCTATCTTTCCCAGCTCTACTTCAAGCACTTCCGTCGGGACAAGAAGAGAGAATGCATTCACAGCATGTGGAAAATCACAAACCTCCACTCACACTGGACAGATTCTTGAAGTTTCGGCGGTGGTTAATTTGTGAGGCAATAAGATTCTTTAGTGAATCTATTCCATGGCTACTTGAAAGGCTGTTGAGAAACCCTTTAAATGAACATATGATCCACAAATAGATTCATCATTTTTCTAAGCTTAAAAGCTTGTTTTGCTGACTAATACACTCTAACTGTAATAAATAATGTTACGTGTTTTATAGGTTATCACTTGCATCCTGCTGAAAGTCAAATCCCGCTACATATCAAAGTTCTTCCGACTTCTTTGGAAGGGCAAAAAAAAAAAAAAGCACTTGCATAGAGGCTTTATTTCAATTTTTAAAGAATATGCAAGTTAGGTCATGATAAATATGCCGATTTTTCTTTGTACATCATATATTGTATTCGAACTCGTTTCGAAATTATTCGACCTAAATTTCTATTGGCTTCGAATTCGCTTTGAACCTAAAATTCACCATTCGCATAAGCCTACCAAGCACACAATTGTTCAATGTTTGGAGATGGTTTTATAGCTCCCAGTTGCAGCTTTAGTTTCAAAGAGGACCGAGTGAGTTGGGATTCAGAATGGTTTCTGTGTAAGCATAGCTGGATACATGAGCACACAAAACTGCACTCAGCACATAAGCCCCACATTGACAACACCTTAAAGCAGCAGCCTAGAATCTGCTTTAATCCTCTACGGAATATTGTAAGTTTATGTGACGATTGCTAATATGTGCTAACAAGGCCAAAGCGTCGGCCTCGGTAGCCCTGTGCAAGTTCATCAAGGAGGTGCTTCATCTTCCTGTTGAAAATGTCTGCTAGTAGTGAGTGCTCGCAAGGATTAAGGCAGCCAACACACACTTGTGATGCAGGTTGACTGCTGATTGTTTACAATAAAACCAAGTTGTCAATGTTGTGAGGTGAGGCATATTGCATGCTGTTGCACAGCATGTGCTTGAAAATTGACTTTAAATATGTTCAAGACTATATCAGCCATTACTATTTCTTTGTAAATTATGTGTGTATGTTTACACAAATCTATCCTACAAAATATCTTGCCCTCAAAATTTTGTGTCAGTACTCTTTTAAAGAAGCCTTGAAACAGCTCTGGCAATTTTTTAAAAGCCCAGTGAGCATAGTTGCCAATTTAGCTGTTTCGTAGCTGAATCTAGCTACTTTTGAACTCTGCTAACTACTGAAAATTTCATTTAGCTACGAGTAGCTGCTTTAGCTTCTTATTCGAAACTTATCTCCTAATCTAGCTATTTTAGCTTACTCTAGCTGTAGTGTTACGACATTTTCAAGAAATACTTGTACAGGTAATTTATTCAAAGAAAGCATAGGACATTGAAAAATCGCCCTTTTCATCGACAGAATCTCATCGTTGGAAACGATGACATTTCGTCCACTCTATTTCCTATCAATTTCCAACAAAATGTGATGGCAAACACACAAAAAAGACAAGATGACGCGAGCTTGCCAACTGATTGGGTTCAGCAAAGAGCGAGCGTCTATTCAGCAAAAAAGAATGATACTGTGCAAATGGCAGATATCATATTGTCAAAGAATTAGATGCACCGCAAGACTAATGGCTGTTTACCGCTACATCTTCATACTTGTACTGCCCTTTTACGAATTTCGGGAGCGAAAGCTTCTTACGTTTCTTTAGCATTACGGTAGTACGTTTAACATTACGGTAGTACACTATTTCTTAGCGAACTTTGACAACTTTGAACAAATCTGTGCATTCGTCCATCTGTCCGTCCGTTTGTCTGTCTGTCTAGCCACCTACGACATTTAGCTCTCCTGGCAGTTTCTATAGTG